GGGCCATCTTGGAGGCCTCTTGGGCGATTCTTGGGCGATTTTTGGGGGCTCTTGGGCCGTATCGAGCCGTCGGAATGCCGAAACAAAGCAAATGTCAAAATCCTTCGACAACCTATGGAAAATCAGTGTTTTGGGCATTTTGTTCTGGCCTTCCTGGAAGCCCTCTTGGAGGCCTCTTGGGCCGCCTTGGGCCAGCTGCGAGCCAACTTCGGCCATCTGTGTGGGCTCCTGGCCCGTCTGACGCCGTCGGAAGCCGGTTGGGGGGCCTTTCTGGGCCGACTTGGGGCCCTCTTGGGGTGCTCCAGGGCCGTCTTAGAGGCTATTTTGGGCGTCTTGGAGGTTTCTGGGGTCGTCTTTGTGCCCTCTTGGGGCCGTCGTGGGTGTCTCTTGGGCAGTTCTGAGGCCATCTTGGAGGCCTCCTGGGCGCTGTGGGGGCGATCTTGGGGGCCTCTTTGGCCGTCTCGGTCCGTCGGAAAGCCGCAAAGAAGCAAATGCAATCCTTCAAACACCTAAGGCAAATCAATGATTTGGGCCTCTTCGGGCCCTCCTGGAGGACCTCTTGGAGGCATCTTGGGTCGTCTTGGAGGCCTCTGTGGGGCCTCTTGGGCCGTCTTCGGCCGTCTTGGACTCTCTTGGGCCGTATGGGAGGCCGTCTTGGATCATCTTGGGCGGACTTGGAGGCCATCTTGGACCATCTTGGAGGCCATCTTGGACCAAGGTGGCCATCTTGGAGACCATTTTGGGCCATCTTGAGCGAACAAATCTGAGAATTGCGGGGGCCTTCCGGGTGGCTGGCGGGACGGACCGACGCCCCAGGGGAGTTCTTCTGGAACAAATCAAAACCACAACTGAAATAGTCTAGCACGCCAGGCACCCCTGCGATGAATCGACAGGGGGCGGCGGATATCCGCCGCCCCCAAGATGGTCTCCAAGATGGCCACGTTGGCCCAAGATGGCCTCCGATATGGTCCAAGATGGCCTCCAAGTCCGCCCAAGATGATCCAAGACGGCCTCCCATACGGCCCAAGAGAGTCCAAGACGGCCGAAGACGGCCCAAGAGGCCCCCCAGAGGCCTCCAAGACGACCCAAGATGCCTCCAAGAGGTCCTCCAGGAGGGCCCGAAGAGGCCAAACTCATTGATTTTCTGAAGTTTTTTGAAACATTTTCGCAGTCGCTTCTTCTCAGCTTTCCGACGACCCAAGACGGCCAAAGAGGCCCCCAAGATCGCCCCCACAGCGCCCAAGAGGCCTCCAAGATGGCCTCAGGACTGCCAAAGAGGCCCCCAAGACGACCCCAAGAGGGCACACAGACGACCCCAGAGGTCTCCAAGACGCCCAAGATGGCCTCTAGGACGGCCCTGGAGCACCCCAAGAGGGCCCCAAGTCGGCCCAGAAAGGCCCCCCAACCGGCTTCCGACGGCGTCAGACGGGCCAGGAGCCCACACAGATGGCCGAAGTTGGCTCGCAGCTGGCCCAAGGCGGCCCAAGAGGCCTCCAAGAGGGCTTCCAGGAAGGCCAGAACAAAAGGCCAACAACACTGATTTTCCATAGGTTGTCGAATGATTTTGACATTTGCTTAGTTTCGGCATTCCGACGGCCCGATACGGCTTAAGAGCCCCCAGAGATCGCCCAAGGATCGCCCAAGAGGCCTCCAAGATGGCCCCAGAACGGCCCAAGAGGCCCCCAATACGGCCCCAAAAGGCCCCAAAGACGGCCCAGGAGGCTTTTAAGACGCCCAAGATGGCCTCCAAGACGGCCCTCGAATATTCCAAGAGGGCCCCAAGTTGGCCCAGAGAAGCCCCCCAAACGGCTTCTCACGGCGTCGGACGGGCCAGGGGCCCACCAAGACGGCCGAAGATGGCATTAAGACGGCCCTAGAGGCCTCCAAGAGGGCCTCCAGGAAGGCCCGAAGAAGGCCCAAATCATTGATTTCCCATGAGTTTTTGAAGGTTTGTGGCATTTGTTTTTTTCGACCTTCCGACGGCCCGAGACGGCCCAAGTGCCCCCAAAGATCGCCCAATAGGCCCAAGACGGCCCCAAGAGGCCCCCAAGACGGCCGAAGAGGCCTCCAAGACGCTCAAGATGGCCTCCAAGACGGCCCAAGAGCCCTCCAAGACGTCCTCCAAGAAGGCCCGAACGGGTCAAAATGGCCTCCAGGCGGCCAAGATGACCTTCAAGATGCCCACGTGTTCCCCGTGCTAATGTCAATGGTAATGTTGACGATCGCCATGGACACTGACTCTCAAGCCTTTTTCTGTCCGGACTAGGATGCCGGTCGACCCGTCCACTGTCGCCTGCGCATTCTCCATCGGCTCCTTCTGCCTGCTGGCGCGGTCCGCGCCACCCGCGCCCATCTGCGGCTGCCAGTGCGATTGTGGGTCCCCTGGCTGGTCCACCGCTCAGCTGCTCGCCGTCGCGGTGGGGCAGCTCGTGACGGGCTGGTGTGCGGCCCGCTGGTGGACGCCGCCTCGGCCGACGGCTCCGTTCGTGGTGGCCGCGGGCCTGGAGGCGACCAAGCAGCTGACGCTGCCTGCAGGGGCGCGCGGCAGGCTTGAGGGCGGAGCTTCTCCGCCCGCCTGATGGCGGATGGCCTCTCTGTGGCAGCGGGGCGCCGCTTCTGGGCCCTGTTCGGATCGTCGGAGGGGGTCTGGCACGAACGCCTCGTCCTTCGCCGCACTTCAGGCGGCCACGTGGTGCTCACGCCGGACGGCGACGTGTACGATGAGCTACTGGAGGACTACGAGGATGCGCTGCCTAGTGGTGTTGCTGGCGGCATTCCGAACCGCCTCTCTGGGCACAAGGCAATCCGCTACGCCTTCCGCCCTGGGGACATCGCCGACGCCAGCGCCTTCCGCCGGCGGGCCGAAGCCTACCTGGCTAGCTGGGCTACCGCATCTCGAGCTGCCGATGGAGGTGGGCGGGGGCCCGCGCCTATCGCCGACACCGGCGCTGTGCCCGCCCGCGCGGCCGGCGCGCTGGTGCCTGCTACTGACGCGGGCCCCGCCTTCTACGACCCCGGCTCGCTGGCTGCCCACACCTGCATCGCGGGCTCGGAGTGGTTCGTCGGCGAGAACCAGGGCCCCCGCAGGCGCGGCGAGGGCATCACCATCCGCGACTCGGATATCGCCTTCGGCGCCTCGGGCCAGGCCCTGCTGTGCCGTGAGGGGGTGTGGTACCGCCTGTGCCGCGACCCGCCGATGCCGTTGCCAGCTGACGAGGGCGTGGCGGACGCGGCGGAGGACATTTGCACACTGGCGGTCGAGTACAATGTACGCGGGGGGCGCACCCGCAGCTTCGAGTCCGCGCGTCACCTGCTGCGCGAGGAGGTCCCGGACGACGCCTGGCCAGTGGAGGGCCCCCGCACTGTGCAGTGGCTCATCGAGGCCTTCGCCAACAGCGGCATGGCCCCGGTGCCACGTCACCATTGGTGGAGACAGGCGCTGGGGGCGACATCATCGGACCCAGGGATCGACGAGCACCTCTTCCTCTCGAAGTGTATCCAGCACGGGCCGCAGTACGACCAGCTCAACATCTGCAACTTGGCCTGCTTTGAGAGCATGGCCCGCCGCTACCAGCTCTGGGAGGAGCGGTACCAGGAGCGGATCCGCGCCTCCACGGAGGGCTCGGTGGCGGCGGGGCTCGCGGCCGAGAGGCACCTGTTTCTCGGCGGCGACCGTGCCAAGGGCTACGCGCTCATCTCGCCCGAGTTGGAGCGCTGGGTGGCGAAGCGCATGGAGGAGCAGGCTGCCGTGCTCAAGGAGCGCCGCAAGGGCCGCGAGGAGCGGGCTCTGGCGGCGGCGTCCTCGGGCGGCGGCGGCGGCGGCGGCGGCGCTGGCCAGACGATCGGCGCCGACCACAGTAAGAAGCTCATGGACAACAAGAAGGGCAAGGACGGCCAGACTGGCACCCCGGGCGCTGGCTCGGGGGGGCAGGGCTGACGCCTCCCACCCCCGTGCTATCCTGCAGCGGCCCCGGAGCCCCCCCGGCTGGGCGCCGCTTTTACACCGCCAGGGGAGGCGGCTGAGCGCTCGCGCCGCCGCTATGCCGCCAGGTCTTGCGGCAGATCCCAGGGACCTGCTTCCTCTGCCTGAGCCCGCCTCGCCTACACCGCGTCATGGGGATGCGCTGGGCTCGGAGTGGCTCTCGGCAGGCCTGCGGACCCTCAATGAGATGGGAGGGCGCGGCGCTGTTCGGCGGGCTGGAACAGCCTCTGGTCCCCAGACCGACGCGCTGGAGCGGCTTCGCAGCTCCTACGCCGCCGTGCCCAGCTGCCCGACGGACCTGACCGCCGACTCGGCCGCCCGCGCCGTGATCGGCTCCGATCCTGGCTATGGATTTGACGACATGGCCAGCGGGAAGTACGCCACCTACCAGCGCGGGAAGGTCTCACTTCCGCGCGCGGCCTCCGGCGCGGTGGAGCTAGCTGCTGCACTGCCGGCGGGGCCCCGCTCCTTGCTGATGGGTGAGTCTGGCACCTTGCTGACGAGGGGCTCCACATCTTCTTCGTCGTTGGCGAAATTGGCTTTTGACCGGAGGCTTGCAAGCAATCCACGCACATATGGGAAGTTCTTGGCTGATCTCCTCGAGCGTGACATGCTCGAGGTTGGTACTTCGTTCTCGCAGGTGGCGCCCTTCTTCGTTTACAAGAAGGACGGGACCCTCAGGCTGATCTTCGACACCAGGGCCTCGAACACGGAGTTCGCCGAGCCCGACTACGTCCCCTTGGCAGCGGCGCAGGCCCTCGGCAGCATCGAGCTGCAGGCGGGGGAGCGCCTCTTCGTGGCCCAGGGCGACGTCACGTGCTGCTTCTACCAGTTCTTGCTGCCAGCGCACCTGCGTGAGGCCTTCGGCCTGCCACCCGTGCCCTGGGACGCGCTGCCGCTCGTCGCTCGCCAGCTGGTTGGGGCGCGCCCGCCTGACGGCATGGTGCACCTGCGCCTCAGAGTGGTGCCGATGGGCTGGTCATGGGCTGTCTACTTCATACAGCATGTCATGATGGAGATCCTTCGCCCCTGCGCCCCGGCGGACCGCTGGCTGGCCCAGTGCGTGCCGCGCGAGCCCGTCTGCCCCGGCTCGGGGGCCTCGCTCATCTACATTGACAACTTCGCGGCCATGGGCACGAGCGCCTCGGAGGCGAACACTCGCCTGGAGCACATGCTGGGCGCCGTGTCGGCCGCTGGAGTGGACGCCTCGCCAGAGCCTGCCGGCGCTCCGTTGCTCGGGTTCGAGCTGGACCCGACGGGCACCCAGTGGCGGCCGACGGCGAGGAAGTTCTGGAAGGTCGCACTGGCCCTCCGCGCTCTGGGCTGGGGTCGCCAGCGCCGCACGGGGCGGCAGATTGCTCGCGCCGTCGGCCATGCCTCTGCCATCATGTTGCTGCGGCCGGAGATGCTGTCCATCTTCTCGGCCGTGTACGTCTTCGCCGACCGCTACTTCGGGCAGCCGGCACGCGTGTGGGCCTCTGTGCGGCGCGAGCTCCGAGCCGCCTGGGCGCTGCTACCGCTCGCCGTCGCCGACATGAGCCTGCCCTGGTCGCCCGCAGTCGCCTCGGTCGACGCCTCGCTGCACGGCTTCGGCGTCGCCGAGAAGGTCTGGCCCCCCGCCGAGGTGGGCCGCGTCGGCCGCGCCTCGGAGCGGGGGCGGTACCGAGGGGCGTTGCGCACCTCCCGCCGCCCGCGCTGCCTGGTCGAGGGGGAGGAGGCTGAGCCCTCGCTGTGCGACATCGTCGACGCCTCGTCCGAGCAGCTGCGTGCGCTGGGGCTGCGCTCCGCCTTCGAGGAGGTGCCGTCGGCCCTGGCCCGCGGCGATGACTGGGGCGTGGTGGCAGCTCGCCGCTGGAGGCGCAAGGACAAGATCCTGGCGCTCGAGGCGGAGGCAGCCCTCTGGCAGGTTCGGCGGCTGGCTCGCAGCCGCCAGAGCGCCCAGAAGCGGCACTTAGTTTTGTCTGACTCAATGGCCTGGGTCCTCACCTCGTGCAAGGGGCGGAGCTCGTCGTGGTACCTGCTGCGGAGGTGCCGCGAGTTTTGCGCTATGAGCCTGGCCCTCGGAGCACGTGTTTCCTTTCGGTGGATTCCCTCGGAGTGGAACTCGGCGGACGAGCCCAGCAGGAGATATGACCCGTCGTCGTCTCATCATGCTCGTCACTTTCACGCCGCACTTGCTCCTCCAGCTGATCGTGCATGGGACGTCGATCTTGGTCGCCAGCCGCCGCCTCGGCTCGAGGGTGAGTGCGGCGACGCGCCCTTCCTGCGGCCGATCGCGCTCGCCGAGGCGCGGCTCCACGGGCCTGCGGGCGCTGCAGGGCTTCGCGAGCAGCTCGCGGCAGGGCGCTCCAAGCGGCGGGCCTTTGCAGGGCCTTTCGCCGCGGGGCTCCCTGGGCCCGAGCCCGCTGTTCTGCTGGGCGCTGGTGCCGGCGCAGAGCCAGAGGCCGAGCCGGGCCCCCTTTGCCCCGAGCCGGGTGCTGCGTCCTCTGGTGGCGCCGGAGCCGGAGGGCGGCGAGGCCAGCTGGAGGCCGCGGCTGGAGGGCATCGCCCTGCCGCGCCGCCACACCTGCCCGTGCAGCCCGCCCCCCCTGCAGCCCTCGCTGGCTGCGGGCCGGCTGCCCTGCCGCACACTGGCTGCTGCTGGCCCCCTGGGCGTGGGCCGCCGCCCTGCGCCGGGACGCCTGGTCCCCTACCGCAGGGAGACCGGCACGGCGCGCCGGCAGCGCCGCGAGACGGCGCGGCGGCGCCCGGTCTCAGCGCTGCACCTTGCCGCCCGCAGCTCGGAGGAGGCGGAGGTGCTGGGGAGCCACATCAGCTCCCTGGCCGCTGCGGCCGTGTCGCCGGCGACGCAGGGCAACTACCTGAGGGCCTTGCGCAAGCCGCGGGCGTGGATGCACGAGACCAGGGCCCCCCGGCGCCTTCCCGCGGGCGAGTGGGTCCTGCTGCTGGAGCAGTACGTGGAGCTCCTGCACGACCGCGGGCTGCCCGAGGGGGATGCCGCCAGCACGCTGGCTGCAGTGCGCTGGGCGCTGCCCGAGCTGCCGCGCCCGCTGCGCCGGGGCCTACCACTGGCGACGGCGGCGGTCACTGGCTGGCGCCGGCTCGAGACGCCGCTGTCACGCCCGCCAGTCCCTCGGTCGCTGGCCGTGCTGATGGCCCTGCGGCTCTGTGCCGACAGCAAGGCGGACTACGCCCTCTTCCTGCTGCTGACGTTCGAGACGGACATGCGGCCGAGCGAGGCGCTCATCCTCCTCGGCCTACAGCTGGTGCCGCCCGTGCCGGGCGAGAAGGGGGCGTGCCGCTTCTGGGCCATCCTGATCCGCGCGAGCGAGCTAGACGTGCTTGGCAAGACCGGCGAGCTCGACGCCAGCGTCGCCCTGGACCTGCCGCGGCACCGCCTGCTGGAGCCTGCGCTGCGCCTGCTGAAGGCCAACCGGGGGGAGCGGGAACGGCTCTTCAAGTTCTGCTACATCGGCTTCCTCCTGGTCTGGTACCGCTGGCTCCACAGCCTAGGCCTGGTGCAGCTGAACGTGACGCCGTACTCCCTCCGACACGGGGGGGCCTCGGAGGACGTGTCCTCCCGGTCGCGGTCTCTCCTCGACGTTCCGAAGAGGGGCGGGTGGCGCTCGTTCCAGAGCGAGCAGCGCTACGAGGGGCACGCCAGGCTGGGCTTGATGATGTGCCGCATCCCCGTGCATACGTGCGAGGACGCGCAGCGCCGCTCGCGCGAGCTGGCCCGGCTCTTGCTGCCAGCCTGCGTGCAGCGCGCGCTGATGCTACCATGCTGAAGCACAGCGTCTTCGTGGACCTCTTCGCTGGCACTGCGCCGGTGAGCAGGTACTTGCGCAGCAAGGGCTACGCCTGCATCGCCTTCGACAAGCTGCAAGGACCGCAGTTTGACCTCAGCCGTCGTGAGGTCGTGCTCACCATCGCAGGCTGGATGCGTGCGGGCCTGGTGTGGGCGCTGTGGTTTGCGACGCCGTGCATCACCACGACTCGAGCCCGCACTGACAGGTCAGGTCGCATGCCGCCGCCGCTGAGATCGTCTGAGCACTACCGTGGCTTGCCTGACTTGTCTGCTCGTCACCGCGCACAGGTGCGCGATGCTAATAGTCTGATCGACGCGGGAGGACGCCTCCAGCAGCTCGCCTGGGATCTTGGCATCTGCTGCGGCGAGGAGAACCCACAAACCTCCATCCTTTGGTGTTTTCCCTCGCGGTACCGAGCTATCGCTCGCGGCTCCGCGGTCGATGTGGATTTCTGTGCTGCCGGAGGGCCCATGCGCAAAAGGACCAAGCTCGTTTTTCAGCTTTGTGGCACTGTCGAGGCCCCACACCTGCGATGCCATGGTCGTGGGGGGCTCTGTTCGTTCACTGGCCGTAAACATGTGCACATCCGGGGGAAGATGGGGGGTAAATGGCTCTCTAAAGTTGCGGAGCCATACCCTCCTGTAGTAGCTAAGTTCATCGGCGATGTCCTCATTCATGTAGTCCATCGCCGTGCTGTGGCCACGCTCAGCCAATTGTGAATTGCCCAGCTCTGCCAGCTTACTTCATATGAATGGCGTGTTTATGGGATTTCAGTCTCTGTGCCTGCGCCTGCGCTATTTCAGCGTGTGCGCGGCGTCCCGCATGATAAATCGCCTGCGTCGCACTTCGACTGACAAAAAGTGCTGGCCTGAGAGCGGGTCATGCTAATGTCAATGGTAATGTTGACGATCGCCATGGACACTGACTCTCAAGCCTTTTTCTGTCCGCCCAAGGCCATCCCTCGCCTCGACACACTTTTTGATGTGGATTTCAGTCTCTGTGCCTGCGCCTGCGCTATTTCAGCGTGTGCGCGGCGTCCCGCATGATAAATCGCCTGCGTCGCACTTCGACTGACAAAAAGTGCTGGCCTGAGAGCGGGTCAAAGACTTTCCAAACCGATTCGGGGAACACATGGTCCGATAGCTTGGCAGGTCTGGCCTCAACGTTCGGCCACATAGGCGCCCGACTAAGGCAGGGTTCGGCGGTGATTCGCCGTAGGCGTCTTCGATCGAAGACGCCTACGGCGAATCACCGCCGCCCCCTGCCTTTTTGGAAACGCCGATGTGGCCGAAAGTTGGATAGAGCTTGGCCAAGCTATCGGACCATGAGTTCCCCGAGTCGGTTTGGAAAGCTTTCGGGGAACACATGGGAGAGAATGATTATGAACAGGAAGAGGAAGAGGAAGAAATAGAGTAGGAGGATGAGGGTTGTTAGGAGTCTCTTGGGGCACCCTTGGGGTCTGTTGGGGGCTTCTTGGGGGCCTCTTCGAGGCCTCTTGGAGGCATCTTGGGGGCCTCCTTGGGCCTCTTGGGGGCCTTTGGGGGCTTCCTGGGGGTCTCTTTGGCCGTCTTAGGGCGTTCCTGGTCCGTCTGACGCCGTCTGGAGCCGTCTTGGGGGCCTCTCTGGGCCGTCTTGGGGCCCTCTTGGGGCGCTTCAGGGCCGTCTTGGAGGCCATGTTGGGCGTCTTGGAGGCCTCTTGGGCCGTCTTGGGGCGCTCTTGGGGCCGTCTTGGGGGGCCCTTGGGCCGTCATAGGGCCTTCTTGGAGGCCTCTTGGGCGATCTTGGGGGCCTCTTGGGCCGTCGGAAGGCCGAAAAGAAGAAAACGCAAAAAACCTTCAAAAACCTAAGGAAAACCAATGATTTTGGCCTCTTCGGGCTCTCCTGGAGAACGTCTTGGAGGCCTCTTGGGCCATCTTGGAGGCATCTTGGGGCCATCTTGGCCGTCTTGGAGGGCATCTTGGGCCGTCTTGGAGGCATCTTGGAACCATCTTACCCGTCTTGGAGGCCATCTTGGCCGTCTGGGAGGCATCTTGGAGGCCATCTTGGGCCATCTTGGCCGTCTTGGAGGCCATCTTGGAGCCGTCTGGGGCAGGAAATTGGGGAATTGAGGTCCTGGAAGGGTGGCCGGCGGGACGGGCCGAAGCCCACTGGGGAGTTCTTTTAGAAAAAGAACCAAAACCAAAACCTGAAACATCCAGCACGCCGTGCACCCCTGCAAGCAGGGGGCGGCGGATAATGGTCTTCGGCCCATCCCGCCACCGTGCTTTTTTTGTGGGCCACAGGCTTCTACAACCCTCGTCAAAATTAACCTCAAACGTGTCTTACGTGGCTGAACTGTCTGTGGGGAGATACTGGACAGAGTAGCGATGACTGCGAGGTACTTGTATGCGCCGCCCCTCCAATGTCGGTCATCATAGAACTTCCGAGTCGTTCCCTGTCAGACCATGTTTGCCCTGGCCCCGGGCGCACCCACATCGCAGGGGCGTGGTCGCCATTTTTGAGGTTAATTCTGACAAGGGTAGTAGGATGTTGGTGCGGAAGCCTCGAATTGTCTGTTCGGGCTTGCCCCTTTGGCCCCTCTTGGGACCGTCTTGGGGTTTTCTTGGGCCGTCTTGGGCGCCTCTTGGGCCGTCTTTGGGCCCTCTTGGGCCGCCTTTGGGCACTCTTGGGGGCGTCGTCGGCCGTCTTGGACATTCAAAAGAAACTCAGGAGTAGTGGATGCAAACAAGGATGTTTTTCCTAAGCGAACAGGACGATGTTTGCTGCTGGGGGCGATGTTGGTGCGTCTTGAGCCTTTGCCGTCTAGGGCCCTGTTGGTGCCGTCTGGGGCCCTGTTGCCGCTGGATGGTCTTGGAGGCCTTTTGGTGCGTCTTGGGCGCGTTTCCGGCCGGGAGGCCATCCTGGGCGTCTTGGGCCGAACGTTCGGCGATTCGGGGCCGTCTTGGGCCTTCTCGGGCCCAAACAAGCCATTGCGACAAGCCCCTGGAGCCACGCTACAAGCCTCGAGAGATTAAAGAATTTTGGGCCCATGCCCTTCAATAACCCGCAGGAGTGAGGACTGAGGCGCAGGGGATCGAGCAAGGGACCCGCGGGCACTCCAACTCGTGCCCGAGGGCACCGTGGCTGATACATGAGACTTGGATCACTACACGCATCGTGGGGCCGATCGATACACAGGTCGATCAGTAGGCAGTGCGGCCGGCAGGTATATTTATGCCGATGACGTGGACCTGCATGCACTGGGACAGGTGTATAGTCAGGACCGTGAAGTCGCCACGCCGATAGATAGGCAGACGTTGAGATTACCTGGTAGGTATATGTAATGATCTTCCCAGCTTGTTGGACAGGTAGTGAGATCACAGTGGGATCCACCGATTTATCGACAGTGAGATCGAGACATGACTCGTCAGGGCAATCCTTAGCTGTATGGTATTACGTGTAGTGAGATCGACGCAGGTTTTATGGTATTACGTGTAGTGAGATCGACGCAGGTTTTTTCCCAACCATCCTGTGGTGTTGGGTCCTCGTTTTGAAGAGACGGTGCCCGCGTCCTCTCCTCTCCTCCTCTTCCCCCTCCTCCTCCTCCTCCTCCTCCTCCTCCTCCTCCTCCTCCTCCTCTCCCTCCTCCTCCTCCTCCTCCTCCTCCTCCTCCTCATCCTCATCATCAGCATCATCATCATCGTCATCGTCACCGTCATCATCAGCATCATCATCATCGTCTTATCACCATCGTCGTCATCATCATCGCCGTCTCCATCATGGCCACACGTTTCGTGGACCCATAGTGAGCTCCACCGAAGGCCCCAGTGGCAAGGTCCGCATGCGGTTCCACCTCCATTTCGGCGCACCCCTCACACGTTTCGTGGCCCCATAGGGAGCTCCACCGAAGGCCCAAGTGTCAGGGTCCGCATGCGGTTCCACCTCCATTTCGGCGCACCCCTCACACGTTTCGTGGCCCCATAGGGAGCTCCACCGAAGGCCCAAGTGGCAGGGTCCGCATGCGGTTCCACCTCCATTTCGGCGCACCCCTCACACGTTTCGTGGCCCCATAGGGAGCTCCACCGAAGGCCCAAGTGTCAGGGTCCGCATGCGGTTCCACCTCCATTTCGGCGCACCCCTCACACGTTTCGTGGCCCCATAGGGAGCTCCACCGAAGGCCCAAGTGTCAGGGTCCGCATGCGGTTCCACCTCCATTTCGGCGCACCCCTCACACGTTTCGTGGCCCCATAGGGAGCTCCACCGAAGGCCCAAGTGTCAGGGTCCGCATGCGGTTCCACCTCCATTTCGGCGCACCCCTCACACGTTTCGTGGCCCCATAGGGAGCTCCACCGAAGGCCCAAGTGTCAGGGTCCGCATGCGGTTCCACCTCCATTTCGGCGCACCCCTCACACGTTTCGTGGCCCCATAGGGAGCTCCACCGAAGGCCCAAGTGTCAGGGTCCGCATGCGGTTCCACCTCCATTTCGGCGCACCCCTCACACGTTTCGTGGCCCCATAGGGAGCTCCACCGAAGGCCCAAGTGTCAGGGTCCGCATGCGGTTCCACCTCCATTTCGGCGCACCCCTCACACGCTTCGTGGCCCCATAGGGAGCTCCACCTGAGGCCCCAGTGGCAGGGTCCGCATGCAGTTCCACCTCCATTTCGGCGCACCCCTCACACGTTTCGTGGCCCCATAGGGAGCTCCGCCTAAGGCCTAAGTGGCAGGGTCCGCATGCAGTTCCACTTCCATTTCGGCGCACCCCTCACACGTTTCGTGGCGTCATAGGGAGCCCCGCCTAAGGCCCAAGTGGCACGGTCCGCATGCAGTTCCACCTCCATTTCGGCACACCCCTCACACGTTTCGTGGCCCCATAGAGAGCTCCGCCTAAGGCCCAAGTGGCAGGGTCCGCATGCAGTTCCACCTCCATTTCGGCGCACCCCTCACACGTTTCGCGGCCCCATAGGGAGCTCCACCGAGGGCGCCAATGGCAGGGTCCGCATGCAGTTCCACCTCCATTTCGGCGCACCCCTCACACGTTTCGCGGCCCCACAGGGTGCTCCACCGAAGGCCCCAGTGGCAGGGTCCGCATGCAGTTCCACCTCCATTTGGCGCACCTCTCACACGCTTCGTGGCCCCATCGGGTGTTCCACCAACGACGATACTTACAACGGCGGCATTCGGAATTGCGTATGGTTGGGCCCTTCGCCAGGATAATTTTTATCATTAGTTACCCGAACAATGCTTGCAGGTAGGGGTTCGTATTTCTGTCTCTCCAAGGAATTGGTCGAGCATGTCGAGGTTTGTCGCCGCGTCGCCGCCGATTTGGAGGAGTCCGTTGAGGTTTCACCGCGTCGCCGCCCGTTGCCGCCTCGTTGCCGCCTAGTCGCCGCCCTCTACGGGGGTTGGGTATGTCGAGGCTTCGCCGCGTCGCCGCTCGTTGCCGCCTCGTTGCCGCCCACTTGGTGTGGGGGGGGGGATCTGTCGAGGTTTCGCCGCATCGCCGCCCGTTGACGCCTCGATGCCGCCCACTTCGGGGTGTTGGGTATGTCGAGGTTTCGCCGCGTCGCTGCCCGCTGCCGCCTAGGTGCCGCCCTCTTCGGGGGTTGGGTATGTCGAGGTTGCGCCGCGTCGCCGCCCATTGCCGCCTCGTTGCCGCATCGTTGCCGCCCACTTGGGGGTGTCCGTCGATGTTTTGCCGCGTCGCCGCCTGTTGCCGCCTCCTTGCGGCCAATTGCCGCTCACGTGGGGCGTCTTAACGGTTGGCCGCGCCACCGCCCGCTTGTCTTCTCGTTGTCGCCCCCCGCGCTTGGAGGGTCCGTCGAGGTTGCACCACATAGCTCGCACGCATAGCTTGCACCGCATAGCTTGCACCACGTATATTGCATCACATAAGTTGCACGACCACTCCAAGACGTCCAACCCCGACGAGATGATTGCGGAGCTACAAAAACAGTGGGCACCCGTCTTCCAGCCGAAGCCGAGCCCCAAACAACACGTTCAACGTTACCTCGAGAAGCATGTGAAGAAATTCGACTGCTCGGACATGGGCATCCCCACGCTTGGCAAAATGCAGCACCTCATCCGCTCCCTGAACAACTCGGCTCCAGGACCTGATGGTCTACCGTACATGGCATGGAAGAAGACACCGATAGCTGCACAGGTGCTCCTCAATGTCACGATCGAGATCATGAGAGGCCTCCCTGTGCCCATGGACTTCAATGAGTCGCTCTTGATCTTCACCCCCAAGGGGTCTGAACCTGAAGACCGCCAGACCGTGACAAGGCTGGCGAAGGCTACGCGTCCTCTCTCCCTCAAGAACACGGACTGCAAGATCGTGGCGGCCATGGGCAACTTCCTAATCAAGGCCATTGTGGCCAAGGACGCGCACCATGCACAGAAAGGCTTCCTCCCTCGCCGTCGCTTCATTGAGCACGTGGTCATGATGGATGCGCAGTCGAGGATAGTGTCTATGGCGCCGCAGATCTCGGAGCGAGATCCCCTGATGATGATGTTCGACTTCGGCGACGCGTTCCCCTCGATGTGCCGCCACTTCCTTCGCACTGTGCTGCTGCTGGGAGGCTTCCCTCCATCGATCCTCAACATGGTGGATGCCATCTACATGTTCCCACTGGCCTGGACCAACCTCAGCGGTCACTTGCGCATCTTCTGCTGGCTGGGCTCTGGCATCCTCCAGGGCTGCCCCTGGTCTGGGACGCTCTGGGCGGTCGGCATGGACCCGCTGATAAGGGACCTCTTCCATCGCACGCGCCACTTCAAGCAGGCCGTCATTGGCGTCTGTGCCGACGATGTGGGTTCGGTTCTCCCCTCGATGCGGATGCTGAAGCCGCTGAGCCAGGTCTTCGCCGCAGCAGAGAAGCTTGCGAAGCTCACGCTCAAGACGATCAAGTGCAAGGTGGTCCCGCTGGCCGAGGAGTTCAGCTCTGCCTTGCATGATCGGGTCCTCGAGAAGTTAAAGGCGCTGGTTCCCCGCTGGGAGCACATGCAAATCGTTCCGATGGCTGAGTACCTGGGTGTGCTGCTGGGCCCCGCGGTCACCAACGAGATGAGATGGATGAAGGTGGTCGAGGGCTGGAAGGTCGTGGCGCACTCGATCGCGGACATGCATGCCCCCACCAGCACCAGCATAATGCTCTACAACCAGCGTGCGGCGTCGAAGGCCTCCTACATGGCCCAGCTGGCGCCTTGGCCCGCGCGCCTCAGACGTCAGGAGGCCTGGCTGCTGCACCGCATCTGGCATATACCGCCACAGTCTCTTCGACTGGCCGACATATTCAGCATCGGCCTTTGGTCTCGCCCGCTCAAGGTCGTCTCAATGGAGTACTCCACGATATCTGCTCTAGTCCGCAGCGCGAAGGAGACGATCATGAACTGGGACCTCTGGCTTCGTCGTCTGCGCATCGTGGTTCAGAATGAGCTGGAGTTCCAGCACTTCGGCAACCTGCACAACCTTGCCCCGCGGCACTGGAAGGAGCCCCCGTTCGCATGGCACCTCCGTGAGGCGGCGACGGGGTTCAAGGATCAGCCGCGCCCTGAGCCGCTGATGAAGGCCTGCCGCTCTGCTTTAGCTGCGTGGCGCACCGCCCAGCAGTCGGCAGGTGCAACCCCGCCCGGGTCCAGAACCCACCTTCAGCGTTTCGTCCACTCCCATCTCCTCTCCTCGCTCCTTGATGCCTCCTCTCTCGTCCACACCTTTCTCTCGCGGCTGAAGCTGTGGCAGTCGCCTGGGACGGAGTTGCCTGCGGATCCGATTGAATGGGAGCCCGTCCTGGAACTGCTGAAACAATTCCCACCAGCAGGACAGTCTGCCCTGATCAAAACGTGGTCAGGCGCCTGGACCACATCGCGACGACTGCACCGATCGTCAGGAGATCAGTCCTGTGTATTTGGGTGCTCGCGAGTGGAAGACCCTGCTGCGTTTGACACCATGCCACACTATATGTCGTGCTCGCACCTTTGGCACGCTGTCTGCATGGCCTGGCATGTGCGTATCCCTGCCCCTGCATGCCTACCCACCCGACTCGGACTAAAGGTCGGAGAGTCGGGGGCCGCGCACCGCGTGGCTTTTGAGCGAGTGATCATTGCTTTCCATACCTACAATATTCAGGCCAGGCTCTGCCAGGACGATTGGTCCTCCCCTGGTGCTGCTATTGCCAGTGCGAAGGCGGGGCGGGCCCTGCTTCTTCATACATATACGGTGCCCGCCTAGGCCTTTTGCCTTCTCGGACATCTCTGAACTACGAGGGACATAAGTTGCACTTAACATCCACAGTGCAATAACTTACTGCGTCGGTCTCACGCTGGCTAACGCACGCATATCCATATATGTATGTATGTATATATATGTACATCTAAATATATAGGCATATCTCTATGTTTGCTCTAGTTCTATGAACGCCTGTCTCTCTCTGGGCTGGCTGCAACTGTCCTTACGTCTTTATGGGGTGGCGCCGCCTGAGGTGTATGGCCACTATCGCCCTCGGACTTCTGGCAGGCCGCGAAGCTCACGCTGGTCATGTCCATGTGGGGTATCTTCGTCGGCTGTTGTGCGTCCGTGTGCTGGCACTGGTCTCATGCCGATTCTTCCGCTCGGTACTTACGTCTAGGTCGCGAGGTCATCGTGAGGTACACGACTGGTCGCAGAACCTGGCGCACGAGGCTGCTGCTCGAGAGTTGCAACGCGGAGACCCTCACTCGAATCATGGGAGCTGCTCTCGACGTGGACGACGGCCAGATCATGTTGATTATGACACCCACGGGAGACGTCTACCCAGAGGAGGTCAGTTGCCCGCCGCTGGCGGGAATAGCTCCGTGCGATGTCGTGGTGGATCCGATTTGGGCTCAGCGCATCGGTCCTCAGACTCACTGGGGGCAGGTACTCGAATGTGGGCAGCCGACGACGCCAGCTCAGTGCGAACAAGCTCGGATGGCATGTCGATATCAGCATTTGCGAGTGAGGATCCCGCGCCTCGATGACGACGACGCCGCGATACAGGCAGTCGCCGGCGACGGTGCCGCCGCTGCTGGCGGTGGAGCCGGGGCAGGCGCCGGGCCTGGCGCTGCGGGCGCGCCTGGCGCCGCCTTGCCTGGGGCAGCGGCAGCACTTGCCGCGGCGGCCCAGGGCGCAGCCCCGCTCCCGCCGCTGGCCGCTGGCCCAGCCTTGACCCCGGAGGAGCCCACGGCGCTGAAGTTCACGCAGGACTTGGAGCTCTTTTCCAGCGGGGGTCGCCGGCCAGCCCAATTCAGCGACTACGGCTTCCCGCTCAAATGCGGCGTCATCTTCGCCAGACGTAGACGTCGACGGCCTCAGGTCGGCTCCCCGCACAGCGGCTGGTCCTGACGACGAGGTCGAGCTCGACGATGGGATCTTAGAAATCACGGCCAGCGTTTCAAACATGTCAAAGTTGTAGCAGACCTCATATGAGGGACTACTTGGGGTTCTTAGCGCTCCTGTCTGGGCCGCGTACTAAATAGTGGCGTTTGCGCTTCATCCTTCAGACCGACGGCCGCCCTAGGGCTTGGCGCAGCTGGCGGCAATCAACACACACACATATCTATATATATATATGTATTGCCGAGCCTGGATGTCGGATCACGAGACGGCACGGAAAGCCGGAGAGTACGCTTTGACAAATAATAAGTTCAATGCAATAGGGCTCCCGCTAATCGACATTTTGCTGCTCCGAGCTCGACTAGCCGAGTTTCGCTATAAACATGAGTTGCTCGGGACAGACGGGTAGGCCGACAGTGCGATGCATGATGAGCGTCTATATCTTGGAGTGGGCGGGACCAGAGGCAGGTCATACTTTGTCCGCAGTTGGAGGAGGTCGTGGCCTCTGAGCTCCACCGCGAGAGTGCGATCGCCAAGGCATCGAGAAAGTTGAATGGGGAAGGGCGCCCAATGGCCAGTCAGAGTTCCTGCCCGGGCGGGCCTGCATTCGTTGACGCAGCCTCTAGTCTGCTGCAGGGCCCTGATGACGGGAAGGGCAAGTCCAACGCCGAGAGAGCCGCCACTAGAGCTGCCGCGAGGGCGGCCAGGGATGCGGCGGCGGGAGCCGTGTCCCAGGCGGCTGGGCGCCCGTCCAGTCGCCAACATCAGGGCATGCTGGTGGCTCGCGAGTTTCTACCAATGGCGCTACCATTTCCCCGAGAAGGCGCTTTTCACTTACAGCCGTCAGGATTTCGACCTGTATGACGTCGCGCGTGATTTCGGCAGCACTGGCATGGCTGGGTCAATTCGGCGGTAGTGAGTGTGTCTCAATGAGATGCATTGTTGCAGACATCCCGCGCTGGGTCTCGACGCGCCGCAGGCTCAGAGTCTCAGTGCGGATCTGTCGGAAGACTTCCACGGGAGTACACCAAGTACCGTCGCCCTGCACCGCCGCGCAAGCCCTGGCGGAGCTTGGCGTCAGACGCCTGGCTTTCTCAGACAGTGACCCTCGTCGCAAGCAGCTTCCAACCCGACTTAGTCTCCTTGCAATGGCGTGGCAGCTTGGCCGCCGTCGACCGAGTGCTGTCTGGTCTGGCCGTGGAACGTTCGAGGGTTATTGCGACAGACCGGCGAGTTGCCACATGATCCAGATCTTCAAGACCAGGTACCGCCAGTCAAGCTTGCAGAGAACGGTGCCTTGTCACGGACCAGGTGCTGTATCCCACCTGTGGGCCGGAGAAGCAACCCACAGTTTGCATCTTTTTCGTGGTTACGGAGGACGGGGCTGCGCGTGGCACTGGGCGCTAGAGACGTCAATGCACTGTTCATCGAGCCAGGCTATGCTCGCTTGCCTGCGCCAGCTTCGATCAACTCCATGGATATCGAAGTGGAAGAACACCTCATCTTGTTTTTCCCAACCATCCTGTGGTGTTGGGTCCTCGTTTTGAAGAGACGGTGCCCGCGTCCTCTCCTCTCCTCCTCTTCCCCCTCCTCCCTCCTCCCTCTCATCATCAGCATCATCATCATCGTCATCGTCACCGTCATCATCAGCATCATCATCATCGTTCTTATCACCATCGTCGTCATCATCATCGCCGTCTCCATCATGGCCACACGTTTCGTGGACCCATAGTGAGCTCCACCGAAGGCCCCAGTGGCAAGGTCCGCATGCGGTTCCACCTCCATTTCGGCGCACCCCTCACACGTTCCGTGGCCCCATAGGGAGCTCCACCGAAGGCCCAAGTGTCAGGGTCCGCATGCGGTTCCACCTCCATTTCGGCGCACCCCTCACACGTTTCGTGGCCCCATAGGGAGCTCCACCGAAGGCCCAAGTGTCAGGGTCCGCATGCGGTTCCACCTCCATTTCGGCGCACCCCTCACACGTTTCGTGGCCCCATAGGGAGCTCCACCGAAGGCCCAAGTGTCAGGGTCCGCATGCGGTTCCACCTCCATTTCGGCGCACCCCTCACACGTTTCGTGGCCCCATAGGGAGCTCCACCGAAGGCCCAAGTGTCAGGGTCCGCATGCGGTTCCACCTCCATTTCGGCGCACCCCTCACACGTTTCGTGGCCCCATAGGGAGCTCCACCGAAGGCCCCAGTGTCAGGGTCCGCATGCGGTTCCACCTCCATTTCGGCGCACCCCTCACACGTTTCGTGGCCCCATAGGGAGCTCCACCGAAGGCCCAAGTGTCAGGGTCCGCATGCGGTTCCACCTCCATTTCGGCGCACCCCTCACACGTTTCGTGGCCCCATAGGGAGCTCCACCGAAGGCCCAAGTGTCAGGGTCCGCATGCGGTTCCACCTCCATTTCGGCGCACCCCTCACACGTTTCGTGGCCCCATAGGGAGCTCCACCGAAGGCCCAAGTGTCAGGGTCCGCATGCGGTTCCACCTCCATTTCGGCGCACCCCTCACACGCTTCGTGGCCCCATAGGGAGCTCCACCTGAGGCCCCAGTGGCAGGGTCCGCATGCAGTTCCACCTCCATTTCGGCGCACCCCTCACACGTTTCGTGGCCCCATAGGGAGCTCCGCCTAAGGCCTAAGTGGCAGGGTCCGCATGCAGTTCCACTTCCATTTCGGCGCACCCCTCACACGTTTCGTGGCGTCATAGGGAGCCCCGCCTAAGGCCCAAGTGGCACGGTCCGCATGCAGTTCCACCTCCATTTCGGCACACCCCTCACACGTTTCGTGGCCCCATAGAGAGCTCCGCCTAAGGCCCAAGTGGCAGGGTCCGCATGCAGTTCCACCTCCATTTCGGCGCACCCCTCACACGTTTCGCGGCCCCATAGGGAGCTCCACCGAGGGCGCCAATGGCAGGGTCCGCATGCAGTTCCACCTCCGTTTCGGCGCACCCCTCACACGTTTCGCGGCCCCACAGGGTGCTCCACCGAAGGCCCCAGTGGCAGGGTCCGCATGCAGTTCCACCTCCATTTGGCGCACCTCTCACACGCTTCGTGGCCCCATCGGGTGTTCCACCAACGACGATACTTACAACGGCGGCATTCGGAATTGCGTATGGTTGGGCCCTTCGCCAGGATAATTTACATGGATGCGGATAGTGCGTGTTGCCGTTGCACGACACCCCCAGGCGTGCAATTTGTCTTCGCGTTCCCATAGATCCTCACCCGTCACTTGTGCAAGCTGAATCTTTCGATGCGCAGTGCTCGGCTTAATTTCCGACGGGCGGAGTCATGGTGGCCCTGGGTTGTCTATTGCTTCCAGGCCGTGGGCACGGCTAGTGCCATGCGAGCTGGCGTTCCCGGGGGTGCATTACTGTTGGGCAAGTAGCAGACCCCCAAGGCCGTCGGCGACTCCATCGGCACCGCAGTAAACGTGGACAAAGCAAGGGCCAAGGGCATTGATGGCGGGATTCTCAGAGGGATGGTAAAGATGCCCTACGATTAGCTCGCCAGCGACGAGCTCTAGCGACTGGGGCTCGAGCGTGGGCTGCCCCAGTCGCACTTCCCGAGCATGGCGCTGGACTCCGGCACCGGCCGCATCTCGGTGGAGCGCAAGAGGCGTTGGAAGATTCGTTTCGCCATCGTGGCCATTTTCGACGACGGCTGTGCTCCGGGACAGTTGATCCAGCGTGTTCTCGGTGACTGCGCTTGGTCGGCCATTCTGCGGCGATGACATTGGCCGTGCGGGGCGTAAGCGCATCGAGCTCTGGCCCGCAAGGGCGAGCGGGCTGTTTCGCGCGCTGGCGGGCGCTGCCCTGCGCGCGCGGGGCCGCGAGCACGCCTGGCGCGCCATTTTTGTGCTCGGCGCCCGCCCGGGGCCCGGCGAGCGCCGGGGCTCTGGGCGAAGCAGTTCGCGCCTTCTCCGCGCAGGCCGGGCGCGAAGCAATATTGGGGCGCTGCTTCCGTCTTCGGAGGGGGCGGCGTCGCCGTCGAAGGCGACGGAGTTCGACGAATCGCTCCTGCTGGACAGGCCGGACCTGAAAGTGTTTTGCCCGCTTTTCCACGCGCTCGAACTCCGCCTGGACTTCGACGGGGCGTGGCCCTCCGACTACCGGACCTTAATTCTCGACGTCGATCAAGCGGGCGCGCGAGGCGGCGGGTCTGTCTGGGCGGGCGCGACGTTCGCCCGCGCGCGATCCGCCGCGGCGGCGCCGGCGACGACGGGCGCTAGCGGGCCAGCTCGACGGCAGAGGTCAATCTGCGCGGCCGTTGGGCTGCGGGCAGTTCCGCCGAGCGGCGCGAGAAGCGCGCCCGAGTCGTCATGTCGAGAGCTTTCGAGGGCCCCATGGAGGAGGTGCGGGGCTACGACGGCGCCGTCGCGCCCCGCCTCGCCGAGTCCATGGCGCTTGTTTGGTCGGGGCTTGCGCCTTTGGGGACTGTCGGCGAGACGTTGGTTGCGCGGGTGTAAGCAGAGGGGCGCGGCAGCCTTCTCGCGGCGGTTGCGGCGACCGCAATGCGTGATTGGACCGGTCTGTTCCTGCCCGCGCGCAGCGAGTTCGGCCGAGACGACGCTTCGCGCGAGGCGCTCGGCCGAGACGCTTGGCACGACAGACGGTTATTTCTCGATGTCTTTGCTGGTTTAGAAAGACGTGCGGAAGAGTTTGAGCGGCAGGAGGAAGTATTGTAATGTGTCGAAGGAGGCTCAATGCGATGTCGCCAACGCAAGTCGCGCACTGGCCGATCGCATTTCCGGCTGGGTCAAGGCCCGCATAGCCCACGGCGTCTTTCCCCGCGGCAGTTCGGGCCCGACCCTTTTCATGGAGATCCGGCGTGCGCAGTGCCCCTGCGGGGCCCCGTGCGCTGCCCCTGTTGAGTCAGCCCGCTTGCACGCAGGTGATCGCGCGCTGGCCCCCGCGCGCAGAATTGCGCGCATTTGCATTCGACGCGCCATGCCATGCCTCGTGGAGAATTCCCGTGCCTCCACGGCCTGGGACGGGCCCCCAATGGCA